TACCTCGAAGCCTCAGTTTTACTCATGAGCTATTGCAAGGAAGACATGAAATTCTATAGGTAAAGCATTTAGCATGGGGTCTGACATAGAAACACTGGCTTTTTGTACCACCAGCCCAGGGCTAGTAAGGACAGGATTCTGTAAGGACAGGATTGATAATCTTAATTTTTCCTTCGATTAGCTTCACTGTGGTTTGGTGTGATAGTGCCTACCATAACATGTATGCTGTGCGTATTTTCATGTAGTGGGTATTGTTTCTTTCTTGTCGTTGAATGGAAGTGAAGGTTATCTTTTAATTCTGCCTGTGAGGATCACTGTCCCCCACATAATGTACTACTGAGCAGGGAAGCTGAAGCAAGAGTGTCAGCTTATGTGGGGCTTCATTGTTTGAGCTGTGGTACCATGACTAGCTACTACAAGGTAGATAAACATGTTTGTTGAACTATACTGAGCCGTTGTGGCATGAAACTTCGGGGGCACCTGGGTGGCTCAGTCGGTTAAGCGTCTGCCTTTGGTTCAGGTCATGATCCCCGGGGTGCTGGGATGGAGCCCTATGTTGCGCTCCCTGCTCTGTGGAGAGTCTGCTTCTCCCTCATCCTCTGCCCTCCCCCCCACCACTCTGCTTGCTAGCTCTCTCTCTCACTCTCTGTGTGTTTCAAATAAATACAATCTTAGAAAAAAAAGATAACACTTTTAAGTTAACACTTCTCTAAGAAGAATCTTTCAAAATTTTATGCCTTCTCTCCTGGTTGTACCTTAATTAGAGTTACTTTTAAAAATCCTGTGAGACTGATTCACCAATAAATTCATAAGCAAAACATCATTTCTGCGAGAATTAGCCAACACTTGAAGGGAAACTATTAGCAAAAACATGTCAATTACAGTTTACTTAAAACATATGAAAAAATCTGTTATTTTTACATATGAAAGAGTAAAAATGGGATTTCCTTAATCCTAAGATGTTACTATTATCAAAAAAGAAAAGCCATAAAGAATTATATGTATCCTTTTAACTGGTTATTAACCTAAATTTTTAGTTGGTAATTAAGAAAATAGTGTCCCAAGGTCTGAACCCCACCTCTGCTCTATGTAAGATTCCTCTTATTTGATGAAATAGTTTAAAAAAAAGCCAGGGGCACCTGGCTGGCTCAGTCGGTAGAGTGTGTGGCTCTCAATCTCGGGGTTATGAGTTTGAGCTCCACATTGAGTGTAGAGATTACTTAAAAATAAAATCTTAGGGGCGACTGGGTGGCTCAGTGGGTTGAGCCTCTGCCTTCAGCTCAGGTCATGATCCCAGGGTCCTGGGATCGAGCCCCGTGTCGGGCTCTCTGCTTGGCGGGGAGCCTGCTTCCTCCTCTCTCTTTCTGCCTGCCTCTCTGCCTACTTGTGATCTCTGTCAAATAAATAAATAAAATCTTAAAAAAATTAATAAATAAAAAATAAAATCTTATATCAAAATGATATATTGTGTTCTTCATTGCTTCATGACTGCAACAATGTATATAAAAGCAGAGACTTTTTTCTCCTATCCTGAAAATGTTCACTTGGCACTAGAAACCTATTGATCATATTTCTCATCTTCCCTGTACCGCCAACTCCTCTAAAAAGTGACCCATGCCTGCTTTTGCATTTGTCCAGCAGTCTGTCTTTTCTTAACCCGCAGCAATCTCATAATGAAAAATAATTATGGAGATCACCAGTGACCTTCTGTTCACTAAATTTCCTTGGCTTTCTATAGGACTTGTTGCCTTAAACTTTTCTCTGACATTGTCCCCATCCTTCCTCTGGTTTTTCCTCATTGTTTGCTTTGTAGGAACCATCTCCCTCTTCCTGGTCCCTATATGGGACTATTCCTTGCAGGTCAATCCTTGGACACATTTTTCTTAGTGAAGAACTGTGTGACACCATGTGACATACCTCACAATGGATCTTGACTCCTCACTGAATTTCAAGCCTCGGTTGAAAATTGCTGATTCTGAGATAAATATTAATTCTTTATCCTGCGGGGCTCACTACATTATTGGCCTAACTGTATTCTAGCCTTTTCAAATACCACTTTTGACCCATACAAGCCTTTGGCCTTTACCTAGATGTACATGTCTGCTGGCCTCAGTGATGCCCTGTACATCATATCTTCATGATTTTTGGTGGTGTTGAGACACAGGTAGGACCAGAATTCGGCTGTGCAATAAATCACTTAAAAAAAAAATCTTCATAGTGTATCACTATGTACATCATACTATGTATTGTGATATACTTCACAAGATTTTTCTATTTAATGACTGGTTGGTGAATAGTAGAACAGTCATCAAATTTATAAAATTGTTCTCTGTGATGAAACTATTATTGATAATCTTTGCCAGTATAAAGTGATTTGTGATAAATCATAGTCTTAAGTTTTTAAAATTTTTTATTTTTTAAAGATTTTATCTATTTGCCAGAGAGTGAGAAAGAGCACAAGCAGGCAGAGGGAGAAGCAGGCTCCCTGCTGAGCAAGAAGCCCAATGTGGGGCTCAATCCCAGGACACTGGGATCATGACCCAAGCCCAAGGCAGACGCTTAACGACTGAACAATCCGGGCATCCCAAATCATAGTTTTTTTTTTAATTAAAGTAAAGCAAAAAAATCCATTTCCTGTAATGAGCTGTGATCAATGATTCTGGATAGATAGTTTTTTGAAATGTAGCCTACTCAGGCACCTGGGTGGCTCAGTCAGTTAAGTGTCTGCCTTCTGGTCAGGTCACCATCCCAGAGTCCTGGTATCGAGCCCCACATTAAACCCCACATCGGGCTCCTTGCTCAGTGGGAAGCCTGCTTCTCCCTCTCCGTCTCCTTCTGCCCCTTCCCTATGGCTCGTGTGTTCTTTCTCTCTGTTCTAAAAAAGAAAAACAAGGCGGACACCTAACCAACTGCACTACCTAGGTGCCCCTGGTATGATTTTTAAGAAGGAAATTAAAGTCAGGCTAAATAGAAGGGTTTATATATGTTACCAGAGCTCTTCCCCTTCCAGCCCTCCCTTTCTTTGCCCTTGAGAGTGAGGGAGTCTTGCAGCAAAAGAGCATCAAAATTATGCTTTGTAGGCTAGCAGAAGCAGCTGCAGGGAGTTTTTCCTGGTTTATAGGTGCTGTACTCTGAGCAATACAAGGGTCCACTGTCCACCTCCTAGGAAGCCAGGGGTGGGTGTCCTGAGGCTCTGATTCAAGGAGTGGCAGGATGGAGCTGGAACCAAGGAAGAGAGTGGAAAAGTAAGCTGAGAGGGGAAGTAAGACAGGGAGAACTTTCATATGTCCATTTGAGATGCGTGCCTTACACTCTGGAAGGCAACCCAATAGGACAGGCAAGAAACATTTTGAACCTTCCTCAGGACTCTTGATGGTGGGTCTTGGGTTTGAATGGGCACTCTCCAGTAATACCTGTGACAAGTTATGTATGAAAGTCAATGGGAAACTAAGTGATACCGTTATCACTGTGACATAGGATTCAATTCAATATATATTTACTGAATGTACACCGTGTGCCAGGCAGTGGGAACCTAAGGAAGGAAAAGAAACAATAATCATGAGCCTTTGCAGACATAAAGGGATGCTGTTAGTCAGATCTTCTTATCATAGATTTCAAAGCTTTATACTCTTCTTATCATGATGGCAGTTTCACATATGTCTGTGATTTTTTTTTCTTACTGCGTCTCAGGCTGTAAGCTCTATGAGAGCAGAGAGCTGTGTCTTTTTCTTCTTCACCATTGTGTCTTAAAGCTAAGCATAGATGCTAGTATTGGAAAGGCATCCAATATTGTTGATTGAATGAGTGTTACTATGTATTACCCCTTTGTGTGTGTGTGTGTGTGTGTGTGTGTGTGTGTGTGTGTGTGTGTTGGGGGGGGAGTATTATCTCATTTTACAAGTGTGGAAACAGCCACAAAATACCCAAGTCCACACCGAAGGCAGGATTCCAAAATGACGAAGGGAGGATTCCAAAACAGCTCAGGCTGACTCCACAACCCAAGGTCTTAGTATCACGTCATGTACCCTTCCCGGGGTTGGAGGGGCCCAGACTGGTGGGAGAGACGGACAAGAATGCATGTACTGGGTAAATACTAGCGACATGAAAGAGACGCGAACCGGAGGCGGTGAGGCGGGGAAAGGTGGGGGTCCCCAACTCTGTTTAAATCCCGCGCACCCAGAGGAAGCAAAATTGAGTGGATCGGCTTGTGCATCCTGCTCAGAATCCAAATTGAGAGGAAGGTGGAAAGAGTTAGGACGCCCTGGGAAAGGAATGAGGGAGAAGGGAGGAGGAAGGGAAGTCAAGAAGAGGGGTGGCAGTCCCTTCTTGCGTCGTGTCTGTTGCGGCGCAACACAATCCTTGGACCCGGGGGCGGGGGGGGGGGGCTGTCAAGGTGATTCATTAAATGGCACTTGGCAGCCGCGAGGCTAAGTTCACCTGCCCAGGTGGGGCGTCAGCGCGCGAGCAGCTTACCAGACGGTGGCCTCATAAAATAGCTTCTCCCCGATCTGGAAGGGAGTGGAGGGGAGATAAATAACGCTTTCTTGTGGGAAAGAGGTTTAGTAAATAAGGAATGTGAGGGCTCTGAAGAGAATTACAGTGCAAGCACCATGGCTATTATCCTAATCAGACACCATTTCAACACCTCTCCCTTCAAGTCATCCAGCCCTACAACAGGATTTATTTTCCAATAAGCGAAATCCCCGCCCGCCAACTCCGAGCCGCTTGGATAAGAGCTCTGTGGGAAACAGCAGCGACGAGGAGAGGCTATTTTGGGTGTGGGAACGCGGAGGGAGGAGGGGCGGCGCCGCCAGGCTGGGCGCGGGTGCGCGGGGAAAGCCTCCAGCTCGGGCTGCCACGGCAACCGCGTCCAGGCAACGCGCCCGGAAGCGGCTCGGGCTGCGCGCGGCGGCTCGCGCCCCCCGGGAGCCGCGAACCCGGCCGGGCCGCGCGCCGGGCCAGGCGGCAGGCGCGCGCTGATTGGACGGCGCTCCCCGCGGCGCGGGCCCGCAGCCGGGCGCCCCGCACAGCCCGCGCCAGCGGCCGCCGCACCCAGCCGCGCCGGCGAGGACATGGGCAGCCGCGGCGCGCCCGCCCCCCGCGCCGGTGAGTGCCGCGCCCCGGGCCCCCGGTCGGACGTGCTCCGCTCCCCGGCGGCGGGAGCTCCCCGGGACGGCCGGTGACCTTGGGGCAGCCGCCGGGGAGATAGGCTTGGGGGGCAGAGAGAGAGCTGCGCGTGGCCCATGTGACGTGCTGCCGGCGAGAGGGTTAACTGCATGCTGACGCGAGGGGATGAAGTTGGGCACGGCACGCAACTGGCATTGCATTTTTGCGGGGGCCGGGGGGAGTTGCGTGCTAGCAAACCGACAGAAGCCGGCAGGGACTGTCTGGGGGAGCTGGGGTGCTGCACATATTGCCAGGGGGTGGTGGTAAGTCAGCCGTCCCACTACTCAGAGCTGAGTGACCTTGGACAGGTTAACCTCTCTGCCTCCCCCTCCCCTTTCTCATTGAAGGGAGAGGCTTGGGCTCTTTGCGGTTCCACAGTGCTGTTGTTTCCTTGCGCTGTAAACTGAGAAAGGGCCCCAAAGTAGGGTTCTGAAGGAACAGGATATACAGGACTCAATCATGTTTGTTAGACAAGGGGTTTCCATTAATTGGCTCTCAAAGTGGCAAGAAATGTTACCATTTTGTGGAAGATAATGGACAGAAAACCGTGGGTGGCCCAGAGCGTGCCTTCTCAAGATGCCCAGGCTGAAACCTCTTGGGTGCTGTAAAAGTCAGGAACAAAATCAGGGTTAATCCTCCCGAGTTGTTCTTTCCTGTAGTTAATCTCATAGGAAACTTTGTATTTGAATAGGTAAAATCAAAACCCAACAGTGGCAGGCAGCAGCAAATTAAGTGAGTCATTTCTTCAGTATGCACGAGGTTGTGTGTGTGTGTGTGTGTGTGTGTGTGTGCGCGCGCGTGCGCACGTGTGCGCGTGCCCGGCTGCGCTCACGCTCTCATCTTAAAGTCTGTGTATGTCAGTGATGGGAATTATTTCATAGGAGTAACCAGAAATAATGCTAGAATGATTTGAGTCCACAGGAGTGCAGCTCTCTGGGAAGCAGGGGCAAACATTTGCAGCTTGCTCTTTAAATAGTTGGGTTTGTGAAAGTAAATAGATTCTTTACTGAGAACCATCCCTAGGGTTTGCCCACTGTGTTCCAGTGGGGGCCTTGTCATAGAGTGTGTGTATTGTGAGGAAGGTAACTCTGAGATCCAGTAGGCTGTGACACCTTTTCTATTTTTAGCACTGGCTGGTGCTAAAAAGACACTCAGGCCCCTTTGTATATTCTTAGTACATAAACTTGCCTCTTCCAAGAAAGAAGAGGGGAGGGAGAAAGTGCCCTGTCCCTCTCATAGGTCCTTGGGGTTGCCTCTTCTGGCTTTCTGCTCTAAATCCTTAATGTTCATTCCAATCTGATTTCATCTGTATAAAAATGTGGGCTGGGAAGACATTTTCAGTGTTAATGAATAAGCTTCTGTAAGCTTGTTTACCTGATGGTTTAATAATCTCTAATGGTTTACGTGTTAAAAATCTGATAGCATTCAGACAGAAAAATCCTTACTGCAGGAATTCAGCCACTAAGCCCTACAAATCTTTAGTGAATCATACTTCATTACACTTGGAAACCTCGTGGACAAACTCGTCCACTTTCTCTCTCTGGAGGCCACTGGCCTTTGTGTCTCCAAACCTGCCTTTCAGTCTCTTGTTTCTCACATCCTACAGCGATACTCCTGAATTTTCATTTTTCTGCAGCTGAGCCTATCTTCCGTCCCTCCCCAGCACCAGAGCCTGAGTGAACAATTTCTCTCAGAATAGCCCTCTCCCGTCTCGGTCTCACCGGAGCAGGGATTGGATTTCCTGCTTCTCAGTGCTACCTCCAAACCATTAACCCGTTCACTAACAAAGTCTTCCATTCACAAGGTCATGCTGTCTGCTCGTGCCCTATACCCTCCTTCTTATGTTCTGGATCAGTGCTTGCCAAACCTGGTGGTTCCTTAGAATGACCCAGAGTATTATGAAAAAAATGTGGCACTTTAGACTCTCTCAAACACACCAAATGAGAATCATCAAGATGGGCAAGACCTACAAATCCTTATTTTAAAAACAAACCCAAAAGGAAGAAGGAGGAGGAAGGAAGATGGGGAGAGAAAACCGAGTTCTGTGGGTGATTCTGATGTATACCCCGGTTTGGCAAGAACTTCCCTTGATGCTACAAAAAAGTAACAGACAGATAAAACACGAGCAACTAGCTTGGTTCTCTTCTCTACCTTGTCTCTTGCCCATGACATTGGGGTTTATGTTGAAGCTCTATTAACTCATTGACCTTGAAGTTCCTCAGGGTCTTCAACTCCTATGGCCTTAATGTCCACTTTACTTCAACCACTCACATTTTGGATTTGTTTAGTTTGGGGAATTTTTTCTACCTTCAAGATCTGGACTTTAGTCTGCTCGGCTGATTCTTTCTACTTACGACACAGGATTTTAACCATTATTGAGGACTCTAGTCCCTTAATTGCTTGCTGTTCCAAACCCCTTATGGCTCCATTTCTCTGCTTGGAGTCTAGATGTTGCCAGCCATTTCTGTTCTGTCTGGAATCCTGGAATCTTTATTCTTAACATATTGAGCTTCTCATATTCCAGTCCTCAATCCAAAATCACCCTCATTATCTACTTTTTCTTCTCCCAGCCCGCCAAGTTATCCAGGAGAAAGTCACAAAGACCTGTGGACTGGTTCCACTGCAAATTTATGCTGGCTCTAATTTCACCTAGGTCTTGCTTTTCTATGAAAAAAAAAAAAAAATCCATCTTTTATTAACTCACGACTGCATTCCTTTAGAGGTTGTGCCAGATTTTCCCATTCCTTACACTTCCAGTCAGTTTCCTTTCAGCAGACAGCCTTTTTTCACTGAAGAGAGGAAGGATGTCCACATCCTGGTTTACTGCCCTCTGCCTCAGTATAAGCTGTCATTGTACCTACCTTACCACCCCATACATTTTTCTTTCTTTCTTTCTTTTTTTTTTAAAGATTTTATTTATTTATTGGAGAGAGAGCACGAGCAAGGTGGGGGACAGGGAGAAGCAGACTCCCTGCTGAGCAGGGAGCCCACTGAGGGGCTCCATCCCAGGACTCCAGGATCATGACCTGAGTCTAAGGCAGACATCTAACTGACTGAGCCACCCAGGCTCCCCCCAAACATTTTTCTTTACCTATCTTTGTCCTTCTTTATTTCCTCTTCCTGTGAGGGAAAAAAATGTCCACAAGTCCCCTCCCCACAATTAACCCATATACACTGCACACTCTCCATTCTCTGGACTTCCCCCCTTCCTTCTTGCCTCATGAGAGAGCTTGCTTTGTCTGTTATTCCCTCTCTTCAGTTTCTTTGGTCCCTCCTTACTCTGCCCAACTCTCACCCCACCGTTTATGCAAGTCATCTTTTTCATAATAAAAGAAACTGCTAGAGTCCCAACTCTGTCCACTAGAACTTTCTGTGATGTTGGAAATATCTTGTACCTGCGCTGTCCAGTGTGATTGTCACTGGCCACAGTGTGACTACTGAGCATGTGAAATGTGGCTAATGTGACCGAGGATCACAATTTCCAGTTTTGTTAATTTTTATTAAGATTTTTATTTATTTACGAGAGAGAGAGAGCGCGCGCACACACATGAGTAGGGGCAGAGGCAGAGGGAGAGGGATAAGCAGACTCCCCACTGAGCAGGTAGCCGGATGTGGGGCTGAATCCCAGGACCCCGGGTTGTGACCTGAGCCAAAGGCAGACACCATAACCTTAACCAACTGAGCCACCCAGGTGGCCCAGGTTTTTGTTAATTTTAAATTCATTTCAAGAGCACATGGGGCGATGGCTCCTGTGTCTGGCTGTGCACCCTGCTGCCGTGTTCTACTGTCTTCTGGGTTTCCCTCCTCTGACCGCCCACTCACTTGTCTGGCCCCACCCTCACCTTTGTGCTGAAACTGCTTTCTTGTGGAGCTCCCACAGTGGTGTCCTGGTGGCAGAGCTGAGGCCTTTTCTCTGTCTTTCCCTCCTTGATCTGCCCTGCCGCCTGCTGCCTGGATCTCTCTCTTCCCTTGTCTCTGTGTCACTGGTTATCCACGAGCAGCTCAATCCTCTTTATCTCCTGTTTCCCCCAGACTTCCGAACGTGGGATTCTGTGGGGTCCTGTCCTTGGCGTTCTTCTCTTCCTATGCTGACTTCCTGCCTTCTCCCTGTCCCAGCTGTCAACTCACCTTGGGGCTGACGTTAGTTGTCATTGGGTGGTTGTCCTGGGCATTACTGGGTGTCGCGACTGAACTGTACCCTGTCCTTTCATTCCCTTCCACCTCTGTGAGGCACATACTCCCATCATTCCTGTTATGCAGGTGAAGAATTTGGAGGAGAGAGAAATGAAAATAACCTAAGTCAGTGACTGGTTGTGAAGGGGCAGACCTGAGAAAGGAATCCCGGCACTCTGACCTGAGAGTCTACTTTCACCAGGCTTTCCCTGCGCCTCCAGAGGCCTTCAGATCTGCATTTCGAGCCTACCCTCTCCCAAATCCCATTCAGAATCTGATACCCAGAAGCCGGACTGTTGGGTCTTTAAACAGCTCCTTGTCATGGTTTCCTTAAATCACTTTCCCCTTTTTAACTTTTTATTATGAAATAATTCAGATTTACAGAAGAGTTGCAAGAATAACTTAAATAATTTGCATCCTTAACCCAAATTCTATGAATATTAACTATTTGCCCCACTTGCTCTATCCTTCTCTTTCGTGCTCTCTCTCCACACACATAGACACACACACACACACACACACACACACTCATGCATGCACACATACATATGCTGTTGTAGTTTTTCAGAGCCTTTTCAGAGTTAAGCTGTAGACACAATGCCCCTTTACCTACCTCCCCCAGTACTTCAGTGTTATTTCCTAAAAAACAGGACATTTCAGGGCACCTGGGTGGCTCAGTGGGTTAAGCCTTTGCCTTCAGCTCAGGTCATGATCTTAGGGTCCTGGGATCAAGCCCCTCACTGTGCTCTCTGCTCAGCAGGAAGCCT